GTAATCGATTCGTTTGCGTGTGCTTAGTGGCGGTTTTTTTTTTTTTTTTTTTGTCGAGTGTCTAACAAGGGAAAATTTCTCTCTCTCTCTTCTCTCTCTCTCTCTTCTCTCTCTCTCTCTCTCTCTCTCTCTCTCTCTCTCTTTCTCTCTCTTCTCTCTCTTTCTCTCTCTCTTCTCTCTCCTCTCTCTCTCTCTCTCTCTCTCTCTTCTCTCGTCTCTCTCTTCTCTCTCTCTCTCTCCTCTCTCTCTCTCTTTCTCTCTCTTTCTCTCTCTCTCCTCTCCTCTCTCCCTCTCTCCCTCTCTTCTGTTTCCTCTCTCTCTCCTCTCTCTCTCTCTCTCTCTCTCTCTCTCTCTCTCTCTCTCTCTCTCTCTCTTCTCTCTCTCTCCTCTCTCCCTCTCTCTCTCTCTCTCTCTCTCTCTCTCTCTCTCTCTCTCTCTCTCTCTCCTCTCTCTCTCTCTCTCTCTCTCTCTCTCTCTCTCTCATTCTTGCGGATAATGAAAATTTCAGGAGAGGTGTGTCTTGACCTAACTTCGATGCCATTAAATTTTGGTGGTGATTCGGGTCACGATCGGGAGCCAGGAATTGTTCAATTAATTAATACATTAATAATGTATATTTATAATGTATATTAATAATGTATAATTAATAATACATTAATTAATAATGGTGACACATTAACACCATTGCCTCCATTGGCTTATTAATACCATTGCCTCCATTGGCTCCGGCGAGGAAGGTAAATTACGGCCGTCGCCAGCGTACTTGAGGCTGAGGTGATTCTAATGTGACTCTGCCAAGTGGGAGTATTTTTTATTGCTTCAGTATGCGCGCTCTGAGTGCTTCTGGGGGTAATTATGTCGTTTGCACACCACTGACTGCCTCCCATGAATCACGTGTCTGGCGAGAACGAGTACGCACAGACTCACGCACACGCATCACGCACACGCATACACGCACACGCACACACATACACACACACACACACACACACACACACACACACACACACACACACACACACACACACAACACACACACACACACACACACACACACACACACACACACACACACACACACACACACACACACACATATATCTGACGCAAACTCCCCTCCCCACATCCTAGGTTCGCGTCCCGGGGTTCGAGCCGCGGCCTTGCACCACGCTCTCCTTCTCGACCGAACGCCCACGCCCGCCCACCCGGCAGAGGCGGCGTCGCAGCGAACAGCAAAGTTCCTCGGCCGACTGACGAAGCTCGGATTCCGCCGGCACTCGCGTCGGGGTTTTCCTGCAGCTGTTCGGAACGTTGCGGCGCCGAAGAACGTTTGCACGCAGGGAGGTCGAGCTCAGCCACTCCGAAAGAGTGCGGAAAGGCAGACCGGGAGCGAGCAGAGAGAGGTCAAAAACGCATTGTCATACCCAAGGAAAGGCAGTCACGTGACGCAACGGACACGGGCGCGAAACGAACACACTTGTACTCTAATGGGGGAAACGCGACGTAATTGGGAGGTGGACGCGCGCGCTGGCGACGAAGAGACATGCGTGCGAGGGAGGAGACATGTCATCGGAGAGCCAGTGAACATGAGGGCCGGGCTGCGGAGGTGTCGTCATGGGAAGAGGTGCGGGAGGAGTGTTTAGTCACTGGAGATGGCGGGGATATTAATTGGTGTCCGGGGAGGGGGGGGGAGGCTGGGGGCGGGGACAGGGGGGGGGGGGGGTCGAGATTTTTTTTTTTCTCTTTCTCTGTTCTTTTGGTTGTTTTTTTGTTTTTATTGCTTTATATTTTTATGTGTTTTTCTTCTTTATTGCCCTTTTTTTTTTCTATATCCGTCTTTCTCTTTATTTCTTTCTCTTCCTGTTTTCCTTTATCTCTTCATTTTTTCCAAGCGCTAAGGCCGCCGAAGAAGGCCAAGCACGTGCGTTGTTCGGGGAAGTCTCTCTGAGTGAGAGACGCGAAGAAAAGTATGTGTGATATGTTTATAAGAGACGCTCGGAAAGTATTAAGTATAATATACTTATAAGTATAATATACTTATAAACTTATATATAATATAATAATATATATAATATATATAATACTTATAGTATTATAATAATAATATAATATAATATAATATAATATAATATATAATATAATAATTATATAATAATTATAATATAATAATAATTCTTATAAATATAACTTATAAACTATATATATATATTATAAGAGACGCTCGGAAAGTATTATTGGCTTGGGAAGGTCGTCCCGCGGGAAGGAAGTCAGCGCGTCGTTAGAGAAGGATTTTTCAGGTGTAAGCTTCACGTTGATGTATGTAGGGTATGGAATGTATATATATATATATATATATATATATATATATATATATATATATATATATATATATATATATATGTGTTGTGTGTGTGTGTGTGTGTGTGTGTGTGTGTGTGTGTGTGTGTGTGGTGTGTGTGTGTGTGTGTGTGTGTGTTGTGTTATGTTGTGTTTGTGTGTGTGTGTGTGTGTGCTGTGTGTGTGTGTGTGTGTGTGTTTGTGTGATGGTGTGTGTGTGTGTTTGTGTGGTGTGTGTGTGTGTGTGTGTGTGTGGTGTTTGTGTGTGTGTGTGTGTGTATGTGTATGTATTATGTGTTTGTTGGTTTGTGTGTTGTGTGTGTGGTGTTGTTGTGTTGTGTTGTATGTGTGTGTGTTTTTGTGTGTGGTGTGTGTGTGTGTGTGTGTGTGGTGTGTGTGTGTGTGTGTGTATGTATGTATGTATGTATGTATGTATGTATGTATGTATGTTTTTGTTTGTTTTGTGTGTGTGTGTGTGTGTGTGTGTGTGTCTGTGTCTGTGTCTGTGTTGTGTGTGTGTATGTGTATGGTGTATGTGTGTGTGTGTGTGTGTATGTTTGTGTTTGTGTGTTGTTGTGTTGTGTGGTGTGTGTGTGTGTGTGTTGTGTCTGGTCTGTGTCTGTGGTGTATGTGTATGTGTGTGTGTGTGTTGTGTGTGTGTGTGTGTGTTTGGTGTGTGTTGTGTTGTGTTTGTGTTTGTGTGTGTGTGTGTGTGTGTGTGTGTTGTGTGTGTGTGTGTGTGTGTGTGTGTGTGTGTGTGTGTGTGTCTGTCTGTGTCTGTGTGTATGTGTATGTGTGTGTGTGTGTGGTGTATGTGTATGTGTGTGTGTGTGTGTGTGGTGTGTGTGTGTGTGTGTGTGTGTGTGGTGTGTGTGACCTGCAAGAGTGTACGAATAATAACCTTCAAATTCCGAGCAAGGAAGTCCTATCATTGCTGTTGGCAGTTGTATCATGAGTCTTTCGATCGGGGAAAAAAAACTTATGTAATCTCCCGACTTCGAAGGAGGGATCTCGCGACGCCCAGCCGAAGTACGAGTAAAGAGTAAGTAAGTAAGTAAGTAAGTAAGTAAGTAAGTAAGAGTAAGTAAGTAAAGTAAGTAAGTAAGTAAGTAAGCAAGTAAGCAAGTAAGCAAGTAAGTAAGTAAGTAAGTAAGCAAGTAAGCAAGTAAGTAGTAGTAAGTAAGTAAGTAAGAGTAAGAGGCTCTAAGCGCCCGCTCACGCACGCTTAACGGACCCGATAACAGGCCCGAACGTAACGAATGACCTTCCCATCATATCAGGGGCCTGGGGAAGTCCGCGCTGTCTCACGTCTTTTTTACCGCGGGCCGCCCGGTCGCCCTCGTCCTCGGGCCTGCAGTAGCCTTGTCCATTGCGTTGATAAGCGTGATTTTGGGCGGCTGTCGGGGATTATTAACTCGAGGAAAAATGGGTCTTTATGGGGCCATTTGCTGTGAAGGGGTTTGAGGTGAATTATGTAGCTGGAGGAAAAGTGGGTCCTTATTTGGGCAATGCTGAAAGGGTTGAGGGGAATTAAGTAGCGGGAGGAAAGATGGGTGTTATTGGGCAATGCTGAAAGGGTTGAGGGGAATTAAGTAGCTGGAGGAAAGAATGGTCTTATTGGGCAATGCTGAAAGGGTTGAGGGGAATTAAGTAGCGGAGGAAAGATGGGTCTTATTGGGCAATGCTGAAAGGGTTGAGGGAATTAGTAGCTGGAGGAAGATGGGTCTTATTGGGCAATGCTCAGGGTTGAGAATTAAGTGATGGGTCTTATTGGGCAATGCTTGAAAGGGTTTAGGGAATTAAGTAGCTGAGGAAAGATGGGTCTTATTGGGCAATGCTGAAAGGGTTGAGGGGAATTAAGTAGCTGGAGGAAAGATGGGTGTTAGGGCAATGCTGAAAGGTTGGGGAATTAAGTAGCTGGAGGAAAGATGGGTGTTATTGGGCAATGCCAGAGGGTTGAAGTGATTGATAACTCGCGGAAAATAGGTCCATATTAGGGCGATGCGAAAAGTTCTTTGTTGGGAATTATATCCGAAGAGGGAGAGGCATCCGTGTCCTGTATTTATTTGTTCAATTGCCTGTTCCAAAATTCGTGTATGTTTCTGTACATTTGTTTATCTCGATATCTGTATCCCTATCTATATCAATTCTTTATCTATATATCGATATATCTATACCATATGTCTATACATCTATATCTACATGTTTGAAAAAATACATATATACATATACATATACATAATATATTCATGATATTGCATAAAATGGAGGAAGTTCCTATGTAAAGCAGTACAAGTATTTCCCTTATATCTTGACATGCAGACTGTCCCCGGAGCTGCAGTTGCCCAAGCTGGAAAAGACATAAAAGCTTATTAAGAGAAAATGCCACGTCTCCTTACAGGCATGCTAAATTTCATGCTGTATGTTAGAAAAAAAATGAATATTCATATATGCGGACATCCATATATACAAAATAGAGGCATTTCTATTTATCTATCGGATAGATATACATTTATCTATCTGTTTGTCTGAATGATAGATATGCATTGGGTCGGGCCTCGCGCAATGTTTAACAAACCGGCCTCTTGTCTTGACATCGAAACCAACACTGCAGTTTTCTGTTATCCGTCTCCCTTTGATGGAAAACGGCAGCTTAGTCTGTTTTATTTCCCTTTGGCCGCCGTTTCGTGTCCTGTATCCTGCCAGACGAAGACTGCACGTGGAGCCTTATTCCGGTCCAGGGGCGTCTTCAGCGGTAAGGTCAACACGCCTTTTCTTCCCTTCATTTCGCGCCTCGCCCTCGAGCCGGGAGCGGCAGCAGGCGCTCGTTCGGGGCCGGACGGGGACACAACACCGAAGAAGCCGGTGAGGTCCCCTGGCGGCGGTGTGGTCCACGGGGGGCGTTGGGTCCCCGGCAAATCAGCTGTGGGTCCCCAGGGAGGCGGATTGTGGGTCCCCCGGCGGCGGCGTTGTCCCCCGGGCGGCAGGTGTGGGTCCCCGGGCGCGGTGTGGGTCCCCGGGAGGCGGTTGTGGGTCCCCGGCGCGGTGTGGGTCCCCGGGCGGCGGTGTGGGTCCCCGGGACGGTGTGGGTCCCGGAAGCGTGTGGTCCCTGGGAAAGCCGGTGTGGGTCCCTGGCAAGGGGTGTGGGTCCCACTGGCGGCCGGTTGTGGTCCCCGGGAGGCGGTGTGGGCTCCCCGGGAAGCGGTGTGGTCCCCACGGGAGGCGGATTTCCCTGGGACGGCGGTGTGCGGTCCCCCGGGGCGACGGTGTGGTCCCTGGGCAGGCGGTGGGTCCCCTGGAGGCGGCTGTGGGTCCCTGGGGCGGTGTGGGTCCCCCGGGCGGCGTGTGGTCCCCTGGGCGGCGGTGTTGGGCGTCCCCCGGGCGCGGTGTGGGTCCCGTGGGCGGCGGTGTGGTCCCAGGCGCGGTGTGGGTTCCCCGGAGGCGGTGTGGGTCCCCTGGGCGCCAGGTGTGGGTCCCCTGGGCGCGGTGTGGGTCCCCGGGAGCGCAGGTGTGGTCCCCCGGGCGCCGTGTGGGTCCCTGGAGGCGGTGTGTGTCCCGGCGCGGTGTGGTCCCGGGCGGCGTGTCGTGGTCCCCACGGGCGGCGGTGTGGGTCCACCTGGGAGCGGGTCTGTCCACTGGGCAAAGCGGTTGTGGGTCCACCGGAACAGGCAGGTGTAGGGTCCCACCGGGCGGCGGTGTGCGGTCCCCCGGAGGCGGTGTGGGTCCCCCGGGAGGCTGGGGTCCCCCGGGAGCGTTGTGGTTCCCCGCGGGCTCGGGGGCCGGATGTGGGTCCCCCGGGAGGCGGTGGGGCTCCCCTGGCGGCGGTGTGAGTCCCGCGCGGTGCTGTCCCCCGGGCGGCGGTGTGGTCCCCAGGGCGGCGCGTGTGGGAGTCCCCGGGCGGCGTGTGGGTCCCCCGGGCGCGGTGTGGGGTCCCCCAGGGCGAGCGGTTGGGTCCCCTGGGCGGCTTCTTGTGCGCCCCGGGGCAAGGCGGGGTGCTGGTCCCCCGGCAGGCGGTGTGGGTCCCCTGGCGGCGGTGGGTCCCGGGCGGCGTTGGTCCCCGGAGGCGGGTGTGTCCCCCGGAGCCAGGTTACGGGTCCCCCGGGCGGCGTGGTCCCCCGCGGCGTGTGGGTCCCCGGGAGCCGGTGTTGAAGTCCCCTGGGAGGCGGTTGCTGGTCCCGCGGGCGGCGGTCTGTGGTCCCGGGAGGCCTGTTGTGGTCCCCGGGCGGCCCGGTGGGTCCCCGGGAGGCCGGTGTGAACCCCGGGAGCGGGTGTGGGTCCCCCGGGCAAGCGGTGTGGGTCCCCTGGCGCCAGGTGTAGTCCCCTGAACAAGCCCGTGGCTGGTCCCCGGAACGCCCAGAAGGCAGTGTGCTTAAGGCACGGAACGACTCCCCACCCCGGCGCATGAACCCAGAGCACTGTAGGAAGGAAACCATGGATCGCTGAGGAATGTCACGCTGGTACGCCGGTCGTGAGAGGCCAGCAAACAGCAGCTAAAGCACGGACTTTAGGGGTGAGTCCCACGCGACCGCAATCGCAGCACACCGAGATGGGTTTGAGGCGGGCGTCCCCGGGAGGCGGTGTGGTCCCCCGGGAGGCGTTGTGGTCCCCTGGGAGCGATTGGGTCCCCGGAGGCGGTGTGGTCCCTGGAGGCGGCTGTGGCGTCCCCCGGGAGGCTGGGGGCGGACCGGTTGCGGTGTGGGTCCCCTGGGAGGCGGTGTTGGGTCCCCGGGAGCGGTGTGGTTCCCCGGGAGGGGTGTGGGTCCCCTGGGAGGCGGTTGTGTCCCCGGAGCGGTGTGGGTCCACTGGGAGCGTGTGGGTCCCCCGGGAGGCGGTGTGGGTCCCCTGGGAGGCGGTGTGGGTCCCCTGGGAGGCGGGTCGTGGGTCCCCGGGAGGCGGTGTGGGGTCCCCGGAGCGGTGTGGGTCCCCGGAGGCGTGTGGGTCCCCGGGGTGTTGGGTCCCCTGGGAGGCGGTGGTGTGTCCCCAGGGAGGCGGTGTGGGTCCCAGGGGCGGTCGGTGTGGGTCCCTGGAGCGGTGGGGGGAGGCGGTGTGGGTCCCCTGGGAGGCGGTGTGGGTCCCCTGGGAGGCATGGGGATTGGGAAGGCCCACATGCCTCCCAGGGGAAAACATGGGGATTGTGGATTTGGGAATTTGTGGATTGAAGGTTGTGGATAGTGAAGAGGTTTTGAGGACGAGGATTCAGAGGACATGTAGGTTGTGAAGACTCGTGGATTTGAAAGCGTCGATGGAGAAGGCATGTGGATTGCGGATCGTGGATTTGAGAACATGGAATTGAGAAGGCTTGTGGATAGCGAAAATTGTGGATTGAAAAAATGTATGTAGATAAAATGAGAAGTGGATTGGGAAACCTTGTGGATGATAAGACGTGGATGAGAAGACGCGTGGATGGTGAAGACTTGTAAATATGTGGAGTGTGAAGACTTGTTGATTGAGAAGACGGTAATTCAACGCAATAAGGTGCCTTTACCAACGAAATTCGTCTCGATGGAGAGCTGAGGAAGCAGGGAAATGTCTGGCAAAAAAACTATAGTAATGACGATGGTGATGATAGTGATGATAATGATGTGGTAATGATGAGGATGGTGATCATAATGATAACGAAATGTTGCGTTGATTAAGCAAACAAAAACTCACACGGGGATCCACTCCTTATAATTCTCCTGAAGGGGATTTGTACGACGACTGACCTCCACTGCGCAGCATAGGCCTATATTCTGCCGAGCAAGATAGAGCTGTGGCCCCGTTTGATCCCTTAGCACAGGAGAGGCTTGCTGCTCTCTTGCCAAGCTGTTCGCGGCCGAGACATGCGGATTGTGACGATTTGCGCGTCGCGAAGCCCAGAGGATTTGCGAAGAAAGATTGGGATTGGGAGGCAGCGTGAGGGGGAAGGGCGGGCGATGGGGAGTGCGAAGAGAGAGAGGGGGAGGGATCGAGGAATCATTGCGTATTTCACTTTTCGTTTTTCTTTGTTTATTTACCCATTTGCTTCTTTTTTTTTCACGAGCACTTAAAAAAAAAAAAAAAAAAAAAAGAGAGAAAAGGGGGCATGCGGATGCGATGACTGGCTGTCCTTCGGCGCAGGAGCAGGAGGCGAAGGCCCTAAGAATAGCATGGGTGCGAGTCCGCCGAGTCACGCCCGCGCCCGAGTCACGCCCGCGCCCTGAAGCCGGACTGTTGTTTCTGTCACGGAACTCTTCACCTGTGACGGCATGAGGGGGGGGGGGGGGGGGGACTGGCAGACGAACAAGTGCCTGTGCTTATGCATGTGCATATATATGTATGTGTGTGTATACATGTATGTTTATATATACATGAGTATATACATGCGTATGTGTAAACACACACACACACACACACACACACACACACACACACACACACACACACACACACACACACACACACACACACACACACACACACACACACCTCTGTTTGTTCTCAATTAAGGGGTTTCGACCATCGCATTACCCAATCGGCTGAACTTATGCCAGTCACTGCACTGTTGTCAGTGACCAAACACTGATCTCCACGTGACATCTTCAGCCCGAATGGCTCTCAGTGGAAACGGATTACCCGGAGAGAGATAATCAGCGGATTCCTAACCACCGCGATTTGCACTCCAATTGGGGTCTTAGTCGTGTTTTTATCTGTCGTATGTTGTTTTTTTTAATTCTTTTTCCTCTTCTATTTATTTATTTTTTTATTCTTTTTTTTTTCTTTTCTCTTTATTTTTTTTTTTATTACCAGACCACATTAAACAAAGGGAAGCAGCGAGGGACAGGGACAGGGTTTCGCCATTTCGTGACGAAACCCTGGCCTGGTATCGGTGGACATCAAAAGTGTGTGTGACACGTGAAACCATTGTGCGGCGACCTTCACGAGCCCCACGCCGGGAGGCTCAAAAATGTGCCTGGTTAATGGCCGTCTTAGTCGACTTGATTGTTTTGATTGTGGAGATTAGGTTGTGAAGGTAGATTGTGAAGGTAGATTGTGGATTTCCCCCCTCGCCGAAAAGACCACTGGAGTAACGTTTGTATCGGTGGTTCGTAGGTTCACTCATGACTGTGAAACGTTTCTTAATATATCGATTTTTCACTAATTTATTCAGCATCGGTCGGTAGCAAACTCTCGCGAAGGCCGACTTTGCAGACGCGAGAAATTCGGTGCCAGAGTGTCGATATAACGGGAGGCGCTGGTCCTTAAAAGGCAGAGTCGAGCGAGGAGAGTCCCTTGCAGATCCCCAACGCGCTCCAGTGAATTCAAGTAATAATTGACAGTTCTTTAAGTACCAATATCTGGCAAGAACTTCTGCCTCGCTTTGCACGCTTTTTTTTTTTTTTTTTTTTTTTGGCTTTTCTGCCTTTATTGGACTCCAGTGTTATGTCTGACCGTGTTCTTCAAGTTTTGTTGTGTTCTTATTTTTCGTTTTTCTAGACATATGAAAATTTTCGTTAATATTACTTTCGGCGAACCTACTGATGATGGGTGTTATGGTAGCATGGAATAAGCAGTGAAGAACGGAAATAAAGGAATGGATGGAAAGATGGAAGAAAAGAACAGGGACAAGGCAGTCGCGCAAGAGGCAGAAGATTGAGTGATCGTAATGTCTGGGAAAATAACGTCCAAGAAAGATCACTTTCTTTGGGAAAATAACATCCCAGAAAGACCACTTTGTCGGGGAAAGTAATACCCAAGAAAGACCACTTTGTCGACGGGGAAAATAAGATGCGAGAAAGATCGTAAAATGGGGAATGTAATATGAAAGGTCATAGTATCGGGAATATAACCCGAGAAAGACCACTTTGTCGGGGGAAAGTAATACCAAGAAAGACCAACGGGGAAAATAATACCCAAGAAGACCACTTTGTCGGGAAAGTAATACCCAAGAAAGACCACTTTGTCGGGGAAAATAATACCCCAAGAAAGACCACTTTGTCGACGGGGAAAATAATACCCAAGAAAGACCACTTTGTCGACGGGGAAAATAATATCCAAGAAAGACCACTTTGTCGACGGGGAAAATAATACCCAAGAAAGACCACTTTGTCGGGGAAATAATACCAGAAAGACCACTTTGTCGGGGAAAGTAATACCCAAGAAAGACCACTTTGTCGGGGAAAGTAATACCCAAGAAAGACCACTTTGTCGGGGAAAATAATAACCAGAAAGACCACTTTGTCGGGGAAAGTAATACCCAAGAAAGACCACTTTGTCGGGAAAGTAATACCAAGAAAGACCACTTTGTCGGGGAAAATAATACCCAAGAAAGACCACTTTGTCGGGGAAAGTAATACCCAAGAAAGACCACTTTGTCGGGGAAAGTAATACCCAAGAAAGACCACTTTGTCGGGGGAAAATAATACCCAAGAAAGACCACTTTGTCGGGGAAAGTAATACCCAAGAAAGACCACTTTGTCGACGGGGAAAATAATACCCAAGAAAGACCACTTTGTCGACGGGGAAATAATCCAAGAAAGACGGGGAAAAATAATACCCAAGAAAGACCAGTCCACTATACCCGTGGGGAAGAAGTTACCCAAGAAAGACCACTTTGTTGGGGGAAATAAGATGCGAGAAAGATTCTTTAAAATCGGGGAAAATAATATGAAAGGTCATAGTAGCGGGAATTATTACCGTTCCAAGAAAGACCACCTTTGTCGGGGAAAATTATATACCCAAAGAAAGACCACTTGTCGACGTGGAAAAATAATACCCAAGAAAGATCACTTTGTCGGGGAAAAGTTAATACCCAAGAAAGACCACTTTGTCGACGGGGAAAATAATACCCAAGAAAGACCACTTTGTCGGGGAAAGTAATACCCAAGAAAGACCACTTTGTCGGGGAAAGTAATACCCAAGAAAGACCACTTTCTTTGGGAAAATAATACCCAAGAAAGACCACTTTGTCGACGGGGAAAATAATACCCAAGAAAGACCACTTTGTCGACGGGGAAAATAATACCCAAGAAAGACCACTTTGTTCGGGGGAAAGTAATACCCAAGAAAGCCACTTTGTCGGGAAAGTAATACCCAAAAGACCACTTTGTCGACGGGAAAAATAACCCAGAAAGACCACTTTTGTCGACGGGGAAAATAATACCCAAGAAAGACCACTTTGTCGGGGAAAGTAATACCCAAGAAAGACCACTTTGTCGGGAAAGTAATACCCAAGAAAGACCACTTTGTCGACGGGAAAAGTATACCCAAGAAAGACCACTTTGTCGGGGAAAAATAATACCCAAGAAAGACCACTTTGTCGGGGAAAGTAATACCCAAGAAAGACCACTTTGTCGGGGAAAATAATACCCAAGAAAGACCACTTTGTCGGGGAAAATAATACCCAAGAAAGATAACTTTTTCTTTGTCGACGGGGAAAATAACACGCAAGAAAATGTCTCCGGGAATTTCACAGAGGATTTGGCGTCGTCAGCTCCTTGCCGTGCGACGCAGACCGAGCAAGCGTAGTAGGCTCTCGACCACGCAGATTGGGGACGCAACCTTGCTCTCGCAGCCGTGACTCTGATGACTCGAGTTGAAAAGGAAATACTTGCGCCAAAACACTGATATTTCGTGGGTTCTTTTCTACTTCTTCTTCTTCTTCTTCTTTCTTCTTCTTCTTCGTCTTCTTCTTCTTCTTCGTCTTCTTCTTCTTCTTCTTTCTTCTTCTCCTCTCCTTCTCCTTCTCCTTCTCTTCTCCTTCTCCTTCTCCTTCTCCTTTCTTCTTCCTTCTCTCTTCTTCTCTTCTTCTCTTCTTCCTTCTTCTCTTCTCTTCTTCTTCTTCCTCTTCTTCTTCTTCTCGTCTTCGTCTTCGTCTTCTTCTTCTTCTTCTCTTTCTTCTTCTTCTTCTTCGTCTTCGTCTTCGTCTTCGTCTTTGTCTTTTGTCTTCTTCTTCTTCGTCTTCTTCTTCTTCTTCCTTCTCCTTTCTCCTTCTCCTTCTCCTTCTTCCTTCTCCTTCTCCTTCTTCTTCTTCTTCTTCTTCTTCTTTCTCTTCTTCTTCTTCTTCTTCTTCTTCTTCTTCTTCTTCGTCTTCCGTCTTCGTCTTCGTCTCGTCTCGTCTTCGGTCTTCGTCTTCTTCTTCGTCTTCGTCTTTCTTCTTCTTTCTTCTT